TCAATCTGTACTATCCACCACACTGATAATTTGAAAACAGCATCGGGGTGCAACAAATGGAGTTTCCTAACCTCCGAATGAAATTGTCAGTTGACATAACAAGTGCTTTTAGACATGTGCAGCAACAAGAAAGGTAATTATTTTACTTTCCTATTAGCTCAGTGGCTGTGAAAGGCACAGCACTCCTTGAAGCAAGTGGGGAGTCAAGGAGATGAGGTTTGCACTAATCTGCTGTAGGGAGGTTGGGTGCCCTTTTCCTGTTGGACAGGCATTTTTTATAATATGGTTGTTTTCAGTTGCTTGTAACCTCATTAAATGTTTGCTGACAGGGTTCTGGGAAAATAACAGCAAGTAACCATGTAACCAAGTAGCTAATCTATGTTTACCTAGTCTGATATGTCATCAAATTCTTCCCAAGTACGTTAATGTACAGCTAAAAATGTGAACTAGGGTCTCAACACTGATATGAAACTTGCCTGGGAAGTTGGGCCAGAGATCTAGGCTGAGACCATGCCACCCAGCTACTACTGTTTGTGCATTAAAATTAGTTAGGGCTCTTTAGGTGGAGATTGTTGACTCATCTGAAAATTTTTGTATATATTTCTGCTTGTTGAAGGGGTATTCCTGGAAGTTCCCCCTCTACCCTAAATAATCAGAACTTAAAAAAAACAAACAAACAAACAAAAAACCCCCCTTCATTCCTATGAAAGGGGCAATGCAAGATACTGCTCAGACCCATAATAGGAAGCCAAGACTCTCCTTGCCAAGACTCTGCAGAAGTGCTGCAGTGGTATGTCTCAACTGCTCAGGATCCCTCTGTGATGGATCATGTGCTTATGCAAGCTCCACCTAACTATATTACTCATGATTGCCAGGAAACTTTTATGCTAAATAGCTTGAACTTTATGAGTGCCCTGTTAATTCAGGATTCTTACGGGCTATTCAGTCATCCAGGCATTTGAACATAACAAACTGAACTTGCAATAATGCAATAAATCTACCCTGAGGCCTTTAGTGTTAGTTGCAAAATGTGGTGGCCACATGGTACAAAGCACTGGTACTGACTCTGATTTTTCAAGTGAATTTGGCAGGATAATTTGATGGTAGAGCTTTTTTTTTGTAGCTAGGTTAGATGTAGACCCTCACAAAGGTGTTGAAATTTGTTTTCCATCTAAGTAGACTGGGATGTGGTGGTGGTTCAAATTGTACTACTTGATGATCTGGTCATTCACTGATCAACATGAAGAATTATGTAACTGCTGCCATAACTATCAACCTATTGATACAATGTTTGCCCATATTTCACAAGACAGTTGCCTGAATTTATACTTTCATTGAAGCTACAATTGACTTTATCAGCTGAAAATCAAGAATCAGTCATTAGTTCACGTCCACTTACTCGAAATGTAACATAAACCCTGCAAAACTTTATCCTGGATGGAATCTACACATGAGAAATATGGTCAGCTCACAGATGAGCAGCATGTGCTGGAAGGCAAATACACAAAGTGTGTGCCAAGTGATGAGTCCATGGGTGTGTGTCGTGTGCCTGGTATCCTCTAAATTTTGACTGCAGGTATTTCCAGCCTTGCTCAGATTTTGTGAATAATGCCATACTTGCCTACAAATATGCTTTCTCATTTTCCTGCATTAGCCAATCAATCCTCAATTTGTTTGTGTTTGTGTCAGAAGTTTGTTTGAGTATAGTGGAGAGGCTTGTGATATCTTGCTGGTCATGTGGGCACCTGCAGAAGTTTCTCAGAGAGCTCTATCAGCTGCACTAGCACTTTTTTGCTGTGTATTAGAAAGTTGTGTCAGAAGAGGCAAACTTTCCTGATCTCCATTCTGGAGCTTTCACTGATTTTTGATGTATGTAAATTCTAGTAATTGAATTACCTTGAAAAAGAGGTTTGAAACCATAAACTCTTTTGGGTTTGTTTTGTGGGATTTTTCTAATCAGCTGTAGGAATGAATTTGCAAAGGCTGCATCCAGCTGGGATCCTTTAAACTCATCTCTATCCATGAGATACCAGGTTTTTAGTTGGTTTTTTTTTTTTTTTTTTTTTTGTAACCCTGGCCATGAATTCTTGTTTGATCTTTGTGAGCAACTGTGGCCATTGATAAGTAAACCAAACTGTAGCCATGTCATGTGTCCCATCTGAGATGTGGTCTATTCTTCATACAAAGAGGGAATGGTTTTCATAACCAGGCAGAGCAGAGTACTTTGTGTCTCTCCAAAGAGCCACAGAAGTGAGAAGCAAATCAGGTCATTAGAGTTTTTATCATACCTGACCTCTCTCCTAGTTCATTAGTGTGGGTTATATTGCAATAGTACTTTGTGGTGCAGAGAAAACCACTAGTGTGCTAGATTCCATAAAAACACAGAGAACAACCTTGCAAAGGCCTTATAATACAATTTTATTTACGATGAAGCAGATGTTTGTGACAATGGAGGAGAAGATAATAAAACTCCATTAGTATGTGTTATAGCGCTTGTGGCAGGAATTTCTTTGGGCTGTGAATTATTAGAAAGATTTTTACAAATGTTTAATTATAAATAAGTATTAATAATGTTTTTTAGGTGAAGAGAGAAAATAAGACAGTAGTTTTTATTTCCAAATATGATACAACAGTTTTGGCCTACAGTAAAGTGTGCTATACACACTGATAAGTGCAGAAGGAAAAATACATTGTACCTGAGGAATACAAGGAAGGATCTGGAACAGATATTTAATGTTTGCTAGTTTAGCTTGTGTAACTGGATGATAGTAAAATATAGTTTCGGCACCTTTTGTAGATATTTTTATTCACTGATATTTTTCAAGGATATTGTTTCAAACATGGCCAGCATAAGTCACTGTTCAAAAATGTTGACAAGCACACATTTTGTTGCAAGGTTATGAATGGTGTTCACTTCCCATGGCAGTTGAGATGCCTCATATGAAAGCACAGCCCCTGGCTTTTTACTTTGGCTCTGCTGGATATGAAGGAGGCTTCTAACAGCTTCTCACAGAAGCCACCCCTGTAGGCCTCCCACTACCAAAAACCAGACCATGCAAACCCAATATACCCCTATCTTTGAAAGCTGCACCAGGGATTTTGTGTTTTCAACATTTATGAAGTGACTTGTGTTAGCACAAAGGGCTTGATCATACCCCATACAATCAGCTGCAATTCATTGGCTCTGAAAGCCAATCAGAGAGATTAGGATTGCGTTTCTTATCCTTTTTGAGTCAGAATACTACCAAAGATTTTGTTTTCAGAAAGAGTCTGTTGATGCTGTTGTACAGTGTTGTTACAGGATATTATTTACAGCCTAGTAGGAATTCAACTAAGCTTTCAATATGTTGTGTTTTTTGTCATACCTGTTTTCTCCTATTTTGCTCACTTTTGAGTTTGGCAGTGTGTATATGTTTTCTTAAAATAATTCTGGTTTTGGTTTTGAGCTGCAACTCTGGATATCTCAAGATGTCACTGATGAACACTTCTCAAAGGTTCAGATGTGGTGGTGTTTAGGGCTGGTTCTACTGTGTCTTGCTGTTTTGAGTCAGGGAGCGCTGGGCTTTGCAGAGCCAGGACTTGAGCATCACCTGTCTGAGAAGTTTCAAGGACCAAGGATACAAACTCTTAGTCATGTAGCTGCTTTCTTGAATTGCCATTTTAAGCGGCCCTAACAGTAACCCTTCCTGAGAAGTCTGTGGTTCTTGTCAGTGGGAATCTTGCATATTAGTATCTGTTGTAGCTAGCTAATATAGAAGCTATTTGAGCTTTCTCTTCATGCAAAATTGAAAGACATCCCAGATATTCTGCTTATGTCTTAGAAATCTTTGATCCATCCAGAGGCTAAGGGCTTGATGGTGATGGCAGAAACATGGGCTGAAATCCAGCACTGCGTGTTCCTGCACTGAGAAAATTGGGGTGCTTCAGGTCTCTCGATCCAGCCCTGCTATTCAGTCACTGATGCAGAAAGGACTAAGGGCTGTTGGTCCCATTAGCAAAGCACATGACTCAGTTACTCACCTAGGGTGACCAGTGGATCATTTGGTGTCCTGCAGTGTCCTGCAGCACCCAGTGTGTGTTTAGAGACCATTTTATGGCCTGGATGCAGACACAGTTTTGATTTAAGTGGTTAGGAGAGGGGGACAGGCTAGCTCTAAGCTTCTGTGAACTATTCAAGCTCACAAAATTAAGTTGCTGTGTCCTGCTAATTACAGCTTTCATCTGGGGTTCAGCTTGTGAGAATAAGGAGGTCATTTTATCGTCAGATCTGCTCTGGTTGTGGAGTAAATATTCCCTTCTTGTACAAAGGTGAAAACTGGATTCTCTCAAACAAAACTTTTGCACTAAATTGTGTACAAGGAAGAATAGCTAGTTTGAGTAGAGATTGCAAAATGCAGTTCAGGCCAGGGACTAGCATGAGTGGGGGAGCCTGCTGGAGTGAAGGAATGACTGGCAGCAGTAAAGTGACTTGCATGTGTACTCAGTGACATGTAAGGGGGAAGAGGGTATTGTGTGCTAGGATGCAAGTGCTGGGCAAATCACCCAAATTATCATGAAAAGCATGGTGCCAGACAGTGGCTCAAATTCTGATGGCCCTCTTAGTTCCAACAAATTTTCCTAAACTGAAAGGGAACGCTCCGTTTTCTGCAGCGGATAGAGCTGCGGCAGGATGTCGTGCCCAGCCGTTCAGGTTCCAGCATGTGCAGTGTCCTGACTCCCGCTGTGCATGTTTCTCTCCCCAGATGGCTGCAGACCCCTGTGCCGAGCAGGCCTGGCCTGGGAGGGCCATGAGGGCCAGAGCCAGGCGCCGCTGCTGAGGTGAAGAGCAGGAGCGATCGCCATGGCCTCGAGGGCCGGAGCCAGGCGCTGCCACTGACGTGAAGAATGGCAGCAATCGTCATGGCCTCAAGGGCCAGAGCCAGGCTCTGCCACTGAGGTGAAGAGTGGGATCGATCACCATGGCCTCATCCCGCTGGGCCCGGCGCTGCCTCTGAGGCGAGGAGCGGGAGCGATCATAATGGCCTCGAGGGCCAGAGCCAGGTGCTGCCACTGAAGTGAGGAACGGGAGCGATCGCCATGGCCTCGTCCCGCCGGGCCCGGCGCACCGGCCCTCCCGACGGCGGCTGGGGTTGGATGATTGTCGCTGGTTGCTTCCTCGTCACTATCTGCACCAGGGCCGTGACAAGGTAAAGGCACTGCTGCTTGTCTTGCTGGCCTCTTTGTGGCATTAGTTTTTTTTCTACACCTTAGGATAAGATCTCCCCTGATGTCCTGCATCTGGCAGGGTTATTTTGGTTAGGTACAGACTCTCTCCTGCTACATTTTCCAAGAGTTCCTGAAACCTCTAAGACTGTGGGGACAACCAAAGGATTATGAGTCCTCTGGCTTCAGTCTCGCCTCCTCTGACAGCTGCTCTAGCTTTCAGCACCCACTCCTTGATTCCTTACAGAGTCAAGGCCTGGGGCAGGTAGCGCTATTTCAGGCTGTGCTGGTTTGGCTGGGGAGGGAGGAATCGTGTAGGGTCTGTCTGGGGTCACTGTGTCCCTCTGACCCCACAGCCCTGCTCATTTTTGCCAGTCCCAGCAAATTTGGGTGACTCCTGAGTCAATGCAAAAAGCATGAAAATACCCCCTTCTCCTATGGCGAGTATTTCAGGTACTGTCCTGCCTGAGAAGGTCCTAGCCCTAGAGAAGAGACCCCTCTCTACACCCTTCTGGTATCCAAAATATGCAGAAAATATTTTCTCAAAAATAGAACAGGACTAGACTGCTGCCTTGCATTAACAAAGTGCAATCTGGGATGAGATTGCTTTCACAGTGACTTTGATGTCAACTGGAGATAGAAGAGCCTGGTGTGTGTGAACATGGACAACTTAGCTATATTAAGCAGAGAGATAAGCACCCTGGTAAGTGAGGAAAACTGAAAGAATGTCTTGTTGGACAGTCAGTATAATGTAAATGCAGTGTGTCCTGCATAAATTTCTGATTTCTTTTAAAATAAAGCTCCCAGGTTTAGGGATCTTAAGTCTTTAGAGATCTAAGGTCTTGGAGTCAACAGCACAGAAGGGGATAGAAACATTTATACAATGTTAGTTAATACTTACAAATGTACCAATTCCATTATAACAGCAGAGAATTCCTAGTAGATTTAATTCCTTGTTCATGTGTGTGATGTATTACATTCAGGAAATCATCTAATGGCCGGCAAATGTTAGACTATATAGAAAAGTGAAGTATGTGCAAGAAAAATAGCTGAAGAAAGTGGTCATTCACTGATCTGGGAAAAAGAGAGGGGGAAAAGGCAGAAAAAAAGCCAGAAAAAGAGAATGAAATTATGCAGCCTTTTAATCTGTTCCACTGTAGGGATATGTTGAACAGTAACCCTTGTTAAGTTGAGCAAAGTAACCTCTCCTGGAAGCATTTTATTAAACTGCTGGAAGGTCTACATGCTCCTGCTGTGTTTTCATTCTCTCTTTGAGGGAGTTACTTTGCACTTGTCCATCCATGAACTCAGAGCTGCAGGTGATGTTTGCTCTGTAGGTATTACATTGACCCTACCCTCACAGTTTGTGTGTGTGTGGAATAGTGAGCAATAAGGTCAGCGAAGAACTATGAAGCCAGGGCTTTGTGTGCCAGGGAAGCAACATCATCATATGGGCTGTAAGTTGGTGGTGAGAATTAGCATTTCAATTTCCTTTTAGTTAACAATACTATGAGTTAAAAAACTTTAGCAGCAAATACCCCAGCAAGAAACATGTGATATTAAAATGTTCAAGACGACAATTTTGATTTTCCTGGGAGTGGGAGAGGGCCTTTAAGTGAGTACTTTTTATACCTGAACGGTGAGACCAGCATTTTCTGTGAGGCAAGTATTCCATGTTTAACAGATTGGTGTTCATGTTTTCTGTCCTAGATGCATCTCCATTTTTTTTGTGGAGTTCCAGGCATACTTTGGGCAGGATTATGCCAGAACTGCTTGGATCCACTCCATTGTCGACTGTGCTACAATGCTTTGTGGTGTGTATTACCCTTTTAAGAGCAATGTGGCTGCTTTTGCATTGGCTCCATCTGGTTTTAGCATGGTCACAAGGTGGTGAAGTCAGCTGGGAAAGAGTGATACTGTGGGATCTCTGGGGTATGGTATATCGAAGCTGCTTCCCCCAACACAGTTGTGCAAGGGAGTGTCTTCATACTAAAGAAAAGAAGCAGAACTTTGTTTTGTGAAATGATCTAATTTTTCAGAAATGTACTTTTGTTGAGGTCTATTGGGACACTTCATGTTTGAGAGCTATTAACTGAATAATTGTTTATTTTGCCTTTTGATTGGAGTTGTATTTGAGATGTAGCACAGGATGTACATCTTGCCTCCAGATCAAGTCACAACCATCCTTCTTTTACCAAAAGTGTATATTTACAAATAACCTTCTCTCTTAAAAAACCTTGATATTATTAAAAATCATGTGCATCAAGCCAGCAGTTGTACTGAATTTCTCATGGGTTTGCTTTAAAGCTGTACTGTTTGGTGAAAATCCATGCTGTAGTCCTGTAGAAGAGGTCAGTCCTTAAGAATTGCTAGAAAGGCAGAGAGACACAGCTAGAATGAGATGCAACAACTCACCTGTGACAGCCAGGTTGTACCTTGGGGAAAAGAGAGAAGTAAGGTAACCTTGCCCTGGCATTGAAGGTAGTAGAGAGGGAGAGGGCTGGTGATGACATCCCATGGTAGAAGCAGGGTGATCTGGGAGACATCAGTGTTGGAGAAGTGCAGGAGAAGGGTAGCAGCCCTGGAGATTGTCCAAAAGATGTGAGACCTCTCCTGGTTGGGTCTAACCCAGAGCCCACAAGGCCAGGCAGTTGTGAGGCAGGACACCTAAAGTTACTGAAGGTTGAAGTGCAAATTCCACGTGGGGAAAAGTCAGTGTGTTGTAAGTATGGAGTACTGAACAGTGTGGGCTGTTGCTGTGGCCTGTCTTGACCCCTTGACACTGCAGATGAACTGTATTTCATAATGCCTTTGATCTACAGAAATGGCTGCTGAGGAAACTACTCTAAGTTTCAGGTTTATCCTGACTTTCAGGAAAATTACTTCTGGCAGTTTTTGTCTTTTTATTTGGTGGTCATGCCATTGCAACAGAAGTGTGTTGGAAGACCACTCTGTAGCTGCAATTACCATTTTCTCCTGCTTCCTTTTCGTTTATAACTGTTGCAGTGAACTGGGTGTGAGGACCTGCCATTAATTTCCAGCTTTATTTGTTTCTCTGAAGCCCCGCTCGGGAGTTTAATCAGTAATCATGTATCCTGCCAAGTTGGTATCATGCTAGGAGGGCTGCTTGCATCTACTGGACTAATTCTGAGCTCATTCGCCGCCAGTCTGGAACATCTCTACTTATCGTTAGGAGTCCTCACAGGTAGGACGCATTCAGCCCCTTTGTTGCTGCCAGAACACGAGACAGGAATGCTAAAAATGATGGGTGATCTCTTTTCCATGTCATTTTGACACTGCACTGGTCAAATAGAGATACTCAGACCTGTTCCCATCATTGTAAAAGAGAGGCTGCCCCAGTGAGAGCTCCAGCACTGATCTCATATCACACAAATGCAGCACCCTGCAAAGGCAACTCTTACCTTCTATTAGAAAGAGGACTGTTGATAAAGTTCTGAAATTATGGGAGGTTAGGAAGGACTGCTGTTGCATTTGATATACATGAAAAGGTTTCCTTGTTTTTTCTGGGATTTGAGAGGAGTTTGTTATAGCAGAAGTTCTAGAGTGCCCTGATATATTTGCATATTTGGAAAAAAGTTTTTAAACCAAAACATAAATATAAGTAAGAGGTAGAGGAGCTCTTGGTGAATACCAGGCACCTCAGCTGTATGCTTTACTTTTTGTCTGCATTACAGTCCAGTTGCAAAGCAAAAAAATTGCTTGTCTTGCTGTAGCAGCTCTTCCACTTCTGCTCAGGTATGATGAAAACAAATCTTTGCCCTGTCCTATCTGTCTGTGTTTGTTGTGCACAGAGAAACTTGAGAGGGGCCCGTGGTCACACTGACATTCCTTCCTCATTAATACTGACCTGGTAGCCAAGGTGATATAAGACCTTGTACTTGGTCCCCTGGGGTTTAGTAACGAGTTAGTGGAATTACTGCAGTTCACATGCCGCCAACAGCTTATTTGTTTAAAAAAAAAATCCTTATTTTAGCACATGTTGCTCCTGTATTATGATGTTAATCTTTGACAAATGTGTTCATAACAAATAAAAAGGCTTCTTGTAACTCGAGGGACTGTGCTACATACCATGCTAATACCTCTGAGGCTTCCTTAGTGGTAGCTGCTGTGAATACCGAGGTGGAAAGGCAGTTACAATTTGTACATCGAGTAGTAAAGAGCCAAGGTCACTACAAGCAGCGAACTTTTAGTCTGTGGGGACTGATTAACAGAGAGGTGAACTGTTGGTAAAGGCTAGATGTGGTGCCCCCAACCCAGAGAGCAGTTGGGACTACAACAAGCGAATGTCTAAATCCATAAAAGCAGCAGGACTTGAAATCAAAGAGTGAAGCAGAGGTGAGATTGGGAAGTGTCAATAAGTAGCAGAGTTCCTTCTAAGAGGTATGAATATGTTTTCAGCCCTAAACTTTCCACTTTTCACAGGACATTTGTTGGCTTTTTTGAGACCGATTTCTCCCTGCCAACTCACTAAAAAATAAATGGTGTGAATGCCTAATAGAGTATGATTTTCATAGCTCTCAAGTGGTGATGTATAGCTCAGGACTGCTCCTCTGGCTCTGCTGCCAGTACACGTCCAGCCCCAGCTCTGTGCCCTGCTTCTCCCCTCACCTCCTGAGGGGTGCCAGACTGGGCACCTGCTGCTCAGAGTCCCTCTAATCCTCTTATTCCACCCTGGCAGGTTTAGTGCCTGCCCTACACAGTGTGGCCTTTGAGGAGGATGTGGCAAGCAGGTTATGGCACTGGGGACTGTTTTATCCTCTATCAGCAAGTTCTGCCAAAGGCACTGGGGACTGTTTTGCCCTCAATGTAGGACATGCTCCAAAACCCTAGTCAGAAACTCATTTCTATTACTGATTCAGAAAAGCATATTTTAGTGTTAGGACAACCACTTGATGTTTAAAACCTGCTCTCTGATCCTGCAGCAGAGACCACAATCTTTTTCTCCATCCAAGAGATGAATCTTGTTTGTTTACTCAACTGGATCTGGCTTTCTGAGGCTTTCCTCCCCTCTTGACTTGTAGGCAGGGATTTAAAATGGTCAGGACTCAAGCAGCTGTTGCAAGGAGTTTGTTTAGCAGACTGAGAGAGGTTTTTTGTAGAATATTAGTTAACAGAGACTCTTTGTACTGTATTTCAGAGACCTGAAAATTAATGTTCAGGGTTGGAACAGACCAAAACACAAAGTGGTACCTTATCAGAACAGTGTGTCCAGTGCCAGCATTGCTGCAGACCCTGGGGCAAGATTTCATCTTGCATGCAGGAGAGGCTGGCACACCAGTTCTCTCATGTTTAGTGATCATCCTTATTCTCATTATGAAGTGAACCCCATCACTTATGTCTGAGTCTTATTATTGTAGATTAATTGTCATCAGCTAGGTTTGTCAAGTCAGTGACCCTGCCAGTGGAAGAAGGACATCATCCTAGTTTCTCATCACACTCAAACTGGGCTGCGTGATACAGAATGAGAAAAAGCTTTCTATTCATTTGTACTAATGAAAATATATTAAGTGGTTTGATTTAATATGTTCCATATGTCATGCTTAGTATTAAGCCATCTGCACTTTGCTTTCTCTTCTAGGACTTGGGTTTGCACTGTGTTATTCTCCAGCCATTGCAATGGTGGGCAAATACTTCAACAAAAGGAAAGCACTGGCGTATGGAATAGCCATGTCAGGAAGTGGAATTGGTACCTTCATCCTGGCCCCTGTGGTCCAGCTTTTAATTGAGCAGTTTTCCTGGCGAGGAGCTTTGCTCATCCTGGGAGGTTTTGTTTTAAACCTCTGTGTCTGTGGTGCCTTGATGCGGCCTATTTCTCTTAAGGAGGATTGTAAAACTGCTCCTGAGTTTCTTGAACAGAATTATGTCCCTGAAACAGAGAAACAAGACTTAACGCGAATGTCCATCTGTTCACCTTTAATCAAATCATGGCCTCATGAATGTTTATGTTACTGCTCATGGAAGGAATATGACTTTTTGCTGATGCCAGGCTTCATGGTGCTGGCAGTGTCAATTTTATTTATGGCATATGGCTGCAGCCCTCTTTTTGTCTACCTAGTGCCTTATGCTTTGAGTGTTGGAGTGAATCATCACCAGGCTGCCTTCCTCATGTCCATACTTGGTGTCATAGACATCATTGGTAATATTACCTTTGGATGGCTCACAGACAGAAGGTAAGGGCTTCTGGCTGATCAAGTGTAAGCTTTATCTGGTGGGAGGCTGGATGCAAGCAAGGTATAATATACATAAAAGTTAACATTATGGACTCTTTCTGTAGCATGTGTAATTTTAAAAAAACCCCAACAACATAGTCTAACTTTCAGAAATGCTTGCTACTTAATATTTTTGTCTCTTCTGAGTTTGTTCAATTCTGCTGGTTTAGTATCTTTTTTCCTGAAAAAATTATATGTTTGTATGTTTGATGGTGGCAATGTAACCCCTTGCCTGAGGTATGTTGAGTGTGATTTTCTGTACCTATTTCCTCTGGGATTTAACCCTGCTTCCTCTGCCTTTCCAACTCTTTTGCACTGTTGGAGAGGCACAGAAGCTATGGAAGAGGGTCCAGGGTCTGGCCCAATATTGTTAGGCACATACTAGGAAGGACTGACTGAAAATTGTTATACATTTTCCAGTACATAAGAACTCACCATGCTGTGCAAACTCAGCTCACACCAAACGTCAGTGTACAGCATCTGAAACATTAGTAGATACTGGCCAAATTTACAAGGATTTTGATTCTAAAGGAATCATTCTTTGCACTTATTTATTTTGTGGGGAAAATAAATTACTGTTTTTGTGGAGCAGGAAGGAAGGGAATTGCCATCTCACTTAGCTCATACTAACTCACACTAACTCACATTTAAGGGTTGACTGGAAAGGTCACAGCTAAGAGAGGTATACTGCAATATTTTATGCATGATACTGGGAGCACCTTGCTGAGCTGGGCTGTAAAGCCCAGTGAAATACTGCTTTGAACATTGAAACTCCAGGGGACTGCAAAATCCTGGCAGCAGCATTCCATCACTAGGAACACCCTGTAGAACACTGCAGGCAGCATGGGCTGCTGCTGGCCAGATGTTCTTGCAGCTGTAGGTGGGCAGCTTTCCCTACCTAGGCTCATCTGCTGAGTGATTTAATCTTGAAGATCGTGTAAGGAAATGGACTTAAATCTGAGCTATATACATAGAGAGAGACTGAAGCACTGCATGCCAGGGCATACAAGCTGGTTTCAGTGATAATATTTTTCTTTTCCGTTTTGAAATTTGCAGGTGTCTGAAGAAGCATCGGTACTTTTGCTACCTCTTTGCTGTGGGAATGGATGGCCTCTGCTGTCTTTTCCTGCCAGTTCTCCAAAGCTTCCCCTTGCTTGTGCCTTTCTCATTTACCTTTGGCTACTTTGACGGAGCCTATGTAACGCTGATCCCTGTCATGACAGCAGATGTAGTGGGAACTTCGTTGTTATCATCAGCACTGGGTGTTGTGTATTTTCTTCATGCCATACCATATCTAGTGAGCCCACCTGTGGCAGGTCAGTTTTGCCAAATTGCTTTCCTATAACCTTATCAGTTCTTCAGATTTACTTATTTGGTATGATGTAAAAGGGGAGGAAGGACAGCAAATGCACAATGAATGTAAAAGTTGCCTCTGGGTAGAGGAATAACACACCTGGACATTCATAAGTCTTTAGATCTCCCATCCTGGTCTTGGTGGGATGATTTCTACATATAGAGTGAGATGAAATTTAAAAAACAAACCAGTATGGAATGGGCTTCTAAGAGCTGCTACATCACCACTTCATATAGTTTAGCAACTCTGCAAGTAGAAGGAGTAAAATATTTCACTGTGAAATAACATGATTTTGTTAAATCCAACTCTCTCTAAAGAGAGTTTAATTCCAATATTTTTTTCTTTGGTGTAGAAGACTTGATCTTTTAGTCTCTACATTGCTTTGAACATAGCTTAATAAATGTTTCTGCATGAACACCTTAGAGCTCTCTAAGCCTTCTAAAGACTGCCGGTTAAATCCATGCAGTTGGAAGATGTTTATTTAGTAGTGTGGTGATGACTACTCTGTCTTTTCTTGTGGATTTGACCTCCAAACGAAAGGCCATAAAGATATTATTTGCCTGCTGAGAAGAAATTCCTCTCTGCCTCAGGATATAAAAGTACAGTGATGGTGATGTAAACCTGTACTGTTTGATTGTATCTATATGTGATAACTCCAGAAGTTTATTCTGTGACTCCTGGGTCACAGGATTTGTAAATTAACCACCAGAATACTGGTGGACCTCTAAAAAAAATTCTTTTCCCCCCTACAGGTTGGCTTGTGGACACAACTGGCAGCTATACTGCATCATTTCTCCTGTGTGGATTTTCTATGATATTTAGTTCAGCACTGTTGTGCTTTGCAAGACTAGCAAAGAAAATCAAAAGAACACATTTGCAATCCCTCACTGGTAACACGGCCTTGAAACAGCACATCTGGACAAATGGAGCAATAGCTTATTCTGTCACAGCAGAATTAGACCAAAGGGATGTTGAATTTTTGGCTGTGGATACAAATAGCTTCAGCAATAGGTGACAAGTGCTGTTGAGATTCAGTATGGCACAGCCTGAGACAGACAGGCTCTGTGATGTTACACCGTTGAAGATACTTATCCTGTGAAACAAGACCTCTCAATTCAATTTTTCTATTGTGTTTTAGTTGGCTTAAATCTACGTACAGCAACAGTAATACCAAGTTAATGCAGTAATAGAAGAAAGCTAAACTGAAAATAGAGTTTGTAGATACAAGTGTTCACAGATTAATTTGAAATGCAATGTTGGCTCCACAGGTATCAGTCACCAAAACCGAACAATAATATTTACATTTAAAAATATTATTAATAACAGAAGCGTTTTCATTTTGTGGTCTAGTATGTTTCAACGAACTAATCACACACATCGTGAAAAAAATCTCTAAATTTATCAGTCTGCATGAAACGCTTTGCAAATTAATGTTTCAAATGCCAAAGTCCTTTGTTTTGCTTTTGTTTTGGTGGGTTTTTTTGTTTGTTTGTTTTTTGTTTTTGTTTTTTTTTAAGGAAATCTGGCAGGAAACTGATTTATGCTGAAAGTATCTCTGGAGCAGCTTTAATTTTTACAATGTGCTTGAACTTTGTACATACATTGCAATTTAATTTCAAATATGTTTTTAGACCTGCTTTCCCATGCGCTCTATAGCATATTTTACTTTTTGTGTTTTTTCTTCTAGATACCTTTAAAATTTGAATTTCTAAGCATTGACATTCTGGGTGTGATCTTTCAGCTGATCCTTGTCTTGGAGGGTGGAAAATGTGCTGTGGTGGTGATGCCTGGAAAGGCTCTGCTATTTGCAGAGGAGTAAATTTGTGCCATGGGACCAGGCATGCTGATAGACAAATGTGCTTTAACTGCATTAGTTGGAAGAAGCCCAAAGGCAGCCCAAGAGAGCAGAGAGGCTCTTGTGTTTTCAAACACAGAGCCTCTTCCTCTTGTAAAACCAGCACCTATTAGAGAACTTTAGAGTCCATGCAACCGGATGGACTCTAAAGAGATTGCCCACCCTACAGGCTGATAGTGAAGAGGATGTTGGCAGATCTGTTTCTGTGTATTGCAGTGGCAAGTCTGTCTCTTTTTAGACCCAGAAGCTGCATCTTCAGGTGGTGCCAATTGCTCATTTGTACCATCTGAAGAGCTATCAGGTCACTTTCCTGTGATGGCCAGAACACAAGAGCTGTGACTTGCTAACAGTTTTCTGCTACTTCTGTGAGGAATATAAATATTCTTCAGTCGACTGCTTCACAGGAGCTAGGGAGTGAATGTAGCTCATGGAGTAACTTACTAATAAATACTGGGATTTTCTACATTTCCAGAGTGAAAACATTGTCAACATTGGAAAACTTCACATTCCGCAACACAAAGCGTTTCAGTGTTTTGATGTGGTATCAAGCTATATTTATTAGCAAATTGATCAGAGTCCAAATAATTTTCATGTACACGGAACTAGCAGTTTTGTTGTGTATTCAGTGGCTTCTCATTTCGTGTGTCCTTTTCTATTCTGTACCTTGTAAGTGAAAGCAACATAGACTAATGTTCAACAATCTGATTTAGACCAAGAGTACAGCCATAGGAATATAATATATTTATATAAATATATACACACACACATATATATATATGAATAGCATGCATATCAGGTAGTTTTATTGTCCAAGTGTATTTCAAATATAGTATATTAAAATTGTGTTTAAATGAAGTGTTTCTCACTGCCCTGCTTCAGGAATGTAGTCAGAGCCAGCAGCATGGTTATGTGCACACATCATGGAATAATTGAGAGTAGTGCAAAATCTTTTTAAAGCCGATGACATAGCTTTTCTTCAGCTCATCATGAAAATTGAGTCTTGGATCCAAGTTTAGTGGTTAACATATATTTATAAAAAAAGACAAAAAAATTATCCATGGGTGTTTCTTAATAAGGTACGAAAAATTTGGAAAAAATGAATTGATTTTATTAATTAGTACTGATGAAGATGATGTTTTAGATCTTAATACAATATTTTAACATTAAAAAGAGGAGAGAAGAGTGTGGTCAACAAAAAATATAATTTATTTTGAACAAGTTATAAATAAATTACCACTGTAAATAAATTTTAAAATTTTAATTACTTTGTTTACATCACATCACAACACGGCACCTGTTGCCCGTGTTGGAACTGCATATTGTAGGAGCCTGTTGGAATAATGCTATATGCATTTTTATCACAGTAAATTATACTGTGTAATACATTATTAGCATTTTTTTTTTTTTTAGTATTTCAAGATTTTTTTTCATAGGCTTTTCTTTTTATGTATTTTAAGCAATACTACTTCTTTTAAGTATCTTATTTAGTAGCAAACATTCAACTAGTTTTATCCACAGACCTTTTGTAGAAAATGGTAAAATTCTTTCAGGGCTTTCCAACACTGTTTCTGCTCTGACTTAAGTCAATGGAGAAAAGCTTATATACTGGAATAAAGACTTCTGTGCATAAAACACACTGGGAAGTAGCAGCCGTGTCATGAATGCCCCACCCACTAAGAAAGAGAAGGAAGGAAGTGTAGCAGGAAGTGACCTGCAAGTGGAAGAAATGGGAATACCACGCAGGCTGGTGAAGCCTCATGCCAAACTTCCAGCTCCTGCTCCATACAACCCAGACTGAACAGGTCACCTTCATCCTGCCGTGTGAAGTATTTCAGGCAACACATTATAGAAATCTCTGGCTTACAATAATTTTAAAGAATGATTTATAGTATTGGCAATATTTTTTTTTCCAGAGATCATAATATTCAGGCTATCCTCCATGTAGGACAATTCCTGGCATGGCTCAGGATGGGAATAAGCCAAGAGACCCAAGCTAGTGGTGAACAATTTGCCAGATGAACACTGCATGTTTGAGGACTTAGGGGTCTTTTCTACCCTTAATGATCCTGTAACTCTACATTCTCACCAGCCCTGATGGACACAAGCATTGATGGGTATGAGCTTGGCTGGAGCACTGCACTGCTGAGCCTGCCTGGCTTCCCAGAACAGCGTGGTGGGACTTGACTTGGGGTAACATCTGTCCGATACAGATTCTACCTCAGATCGATCCTACCTGGGATTATTCTCTGTTCTGTGCAGTGGATAGAAATTCAATATAAGTGAAACTGCTTACAGCTGCTGAAGTTATCCCACCTGTCTCAATTCCATGAGGTTTGAAATGGGGAAATAGTAATTCTTTTGAAAGTATTTATATTCTAGTGATAATGTGTAACATTTAATAAATTGTATCTTGGAAAGTTGTGTGAAAACATTGGAAAAGTCAAGTACCTTCTGTTGAAAAATTACTCTTTTTTTCAGAAAAAGCATTCCTGAAACATTCCTGTCAGTTTGGATAATAATTTATCTCCTGAAAGACAAAGGCTATGTTACTATATGATGAATATATTTTATATTGCCACAACAATGCTTTGTTTTCTTTCTGAAATGTATAAATTTATGTGAAGAGCTTGTTTATCTTAAACTGTAACACTACTTCATGGTCAGCACAGCAAAGTCCTTTATGGGGTTTGCCTCAATAAATAATACCTTCTTCTTAGTGATTATTCTGGTGTGTTTCAGTAATATTGTCTATATACTTTAGAAAGTCCTTTTGAGTCTTAAATTAATATTTCCTGAAGGGTTATCTTCATTAATTTTTTCCCCTACACTGCTAGCATCAACTTCAGTGATATATTCATACTTGGGTGTGGATTGAGAGGTGTGTTCAGCCTCCGTACAGTTCAAGATTTCCCCAATGGACTTGGACTCTCCCAAATTTGTGTTTCATTTTGTCTACCTCCCAAAAACTCGAGCTCAACCTGCTTCCTGTGTTGGCATGCTAGGCAATGCAGCAGCACCACCCTGTGGGAAATAACGTTTTTCCTCATTTACAAGACAAGCAAAACCCAGAAGGCCGTGTTTTCACAGAGCATCCCCAGGTAGTACTGTGGTCCAGAGCAGTCCTCCAAGTACAAAGGAGGTGAAGCACAACAAATACTTTTTTTTTGTGTCACTGTCTTACAGTCAGTTTCTTCACTGTGCAGATTGAGCTACTATGACTCTTCATAAATTTCAGACTCACTTTTTTTCCCCAAAATCAATATAGGTTATCCTTATTTGTTCAAGGTTCTTTTTTCAGGAGACATCTTGGTGGCAGTGTAAAGAGGAGAATGGATGTGCCACCATGGCAATGAGAACCTGCATTACCTCTTCCTCCCTCTGTGCCCTCAGTAGAGTTTAGATAACAATGATGGCGAGCTTAGAAGCCCTCAAGATTCACAAAGGCAGTGAGGTTGTCTAACAGAACCTTTTGTCCCCATAGCTGGGCACACCAATGTAGTATCCCCAGTTTCTGACTTTGGCCCCACTGTTGTTCCAGCCAGCTTTCAGGAGTGGCCTGTCAGAATTGTTCCCAGTCCTTCCTGTTCTCCCTTCTCACCCATCCATCCCTAAGCAGGGTTGCCTTTGTGTGTAGGAGAGAAGCTGGCAGGTGGCTGAGAAACAAGGGTGGATTTTGCTCCAGCTCTTTCTTAGGAAAAGGGTGTTTGTAATTATGTACACTTGATTGCTTTTGCTTGTGTTATGAAAGATTCTCTGCAGGAGAGCTGAGAAGGAGGATATTGATATTTTATTGATATTATTGATATTTTGTGTCTGGCATTGGTGTTTTGCACTCTTTCATGGCTTGTCATCCTGTCTGTACAGAGGTGCTGTTGTGAGTACAGGAATGGTCCTGGATGGGTAGAAACTAATGTGCACATTCTTCCTGATGGGCTCTGTCACCAGTTCGCTTCATGCTATACTAGTGGCTAGGGCTCAGAACTGTTTTGGAAGTACAGGACTGTTTTTTCTCCGAGTACTTACGGTCTATCAAATAAAGATACACTACTGGGGAGTTAGGCCATGATGTTACAAAGAATATTGAATTTTAGTTGGACACTTGAAGACAATCAACTTATCAACCCATTCTGTCATTTCAGCCCTTTCTTCCATTCATGTAGAAACTATGGGCATCCACCCCTTTTTCCACACAACTATTATGTTCCCCTTCCCTGCTCACTCAACTCTACTCTGGCTGTGCACTGCCCTCCATATGCAGTTGTGGTGGTTTTGGTTCACCAATTTGAAATTTTCCAGGCAATGCACAATTTATTTTATGTTGAGAGTTCTGTGTTGGTAAAATTCTTAGTGCAGTCACTAAAATGATTTAGTCATTTCGTGCTGTGAGATAGGATTAGGAGGAAGGCAAAACAGGCTCAAACTTAAAAGGGTAAAAAGAAAACTTTAATTACTAGAAACTATAAGGAAAAATAATAAGAATTAGAATAAAATTTAAAGAATACTTTCTCCTCCCCTCCACAGATTCTTTGCATTCACACCAACCACATAAAGAACCAATTCCATCAGTTTACCATCTTTCAAATAGTCTTGCACCAATTAACTTGCGAGAGGAGACTTCTTTCTTCAGTATATGGAGATTTTTACACAAGAAAGTTTTCTCATGGCCTTGATGTCACAGGGATCAGCCGCCCGGGAGAATGGAAATCTGATCACTATGTAAAAATCCCTTCTTCGATTAACAATTTTCCCACATGCATTGTTGAGGACCATTTCAACTTATGGGGCACATTTTAACAATTATAACAGTTTAAACAAAAGCTTTCTTGATCTTTGAAAACAGAGATCTTTCTTCTTCTTCTACCTTGGGGCAGCAGGGATCTTCATCTCCTCTCTATTCATGCTCATGTGATCACAGCCATTTCAACTTTTGCTTACTCGAGCACCAATGCCTTTGCACATATCTACAGTTTAAACATTCACCCACTGTATAATATATCTTTATGAGTTATAAGGAAACAAGAGTCTCTTCTCCATAGCATATAAAAGAGAAATTTCAGTCAATGATTCTCCTCCTTCCCTCATCTGGAAGACCTGATTCTTCCTTTTGTCTGACTTTCATGTTTTTATGCTTTTTTTTTGTGCATACCATCATCTTGGTCCTCAGGAGAGAGAACAAAGTATCTGCAAGTCTCATTCTGGGCAGTGAAAGAGTTAATACCTTGCCAGACAGCGGATGGTGCTGTGATCTCTTCCAGGTGGTGGCCCAGAGCAATTTGCGATAAAGAGTAATAATGGAGTAATAAAGGCTGCGCTAGGGTTGGGCTAGGATTGTATGGGCCCAGCCAGAAAGCACTGGTGGTTGTTCTGTCCATGGCTGTTTTCTGGCATTTGCTGTATTCAATTCTCTTGTGGCACATGTTTACTTCATTGAATTCATTGCTAAAGTTGCTATAATGGTTTGTTCTTCTGTACCTCTGTGTTTTCCCCAAGCTGGTTTGTCCCTAAGTTGTAGGCGCCCCCGAAACTAACCTGGCATTCCCCACCCCTTGTTCCAGTTCCTGCCCTGTCCGTTATTGTAACCCTGCCCCTTGTTCCAGTGCCTTCCCTGTCAGTCCCACCCTGGGCCAATCCCTAGTCACTCTGCCCTCTTGGAAATGCCCTGGTACTCGATGCCCTATTGGCCCCTGTGACTCTTTCTCTTCCCCCTGCTTCCCTCAGAGGTTTGGACTTTGTAACACCCTGCCCTTTACTCCTCCCCTAAGGATCCCTTATTGGTTGATTGTTTGGACCCACCCCCCGATTTGTCTCTGGATTTAACCCCAGGCACAGCAGTGCTCGGGCCTCTCCCAAATGCCTGAACCCTTCAACACTAATAAATGCTGTTGGAACCTAAGCAGTGGAGAGTCTCTCTCTCCTCCTTTGCCAGATCCCGGATGCTGACCGCACTGTTGAGCAAGCAGCTCAAGAGGTTCTGCCTGCAGTAAAGCTAAACTGAGGCAATTCTCCACACCAGGCACGGCACCGGTGTGTCTCCATTGAGCTAGCCTGGGCTCCGGTGGTCACGTCACAGTTCCATCCACAGACTGATGGTCTTCCCTTCCCTTCCCTCTGCCCAGCACTGCCAGCAGGCAAGGGTGGGGGTTGGCGGGGTCTTGGCCTCGCCAGAACGGGGCCCAGCTTTGTGTCCCCCAGGCCACACGGGTGGCAGGAGAGGCCCAGCCATCCAGAGCCGCTCTGGGGCAGCAGCAGGGCAGGGTTCTGCTGAGCCAAGGGCTCCCTGGCCATGCCGGGGGCCATGGATTTTAGCAATGGGCCACCCCTCCCCTGTCTATCGGGGCCCTGATTGAAAATGGGGCCTGGGGGCCTCCTGAGCCCTGCCTCAGAGCCTGCCCACCCCTGCTTGGCCTGGTCTGGGCTGCATAAAGGGCCCAGGCCGTTGCTGCCTTCTGAGAGGCCAGAAGGCAAAGAGAACTTTCCCAGGGTCTTTCGTCATTACATGTGTGTTTCACAAAGACACATAAACTTTCTCATTGGTCTAACAATATGTCAATATTAAAAATCAGACACTGATTGGTCTTTGTCAAGTTCACAGGAAGCTGCCCAGGTCTCAGCAGGGAAAAATTTCAGGAAATCTTTACAAACCACCACAGCAGTCCAGGTCATTTCTTGTGTGTGTTTGCTCTCCCTGGCTTGTTTCACAAGCATGGCCACCGCCGTCTCTTTGGCATCTCAAAGACTGCCTCTCTAGATGTTTGCTGTTGTGGCTCCTGATAGGGTGTTTTGGGTAAACTGGACAGTTGATGTTCTGTGCACACTCTAAATCTTTGGTGCAAGGCATCTGGAGCCAGCTTTGCTGAGAGCTCAGGGAAAATAAATGGGGCTGTCATCTCAGCCTTTTGCATCCTACAAAAGTTCTATCCTTCTTACTTTTTTGAATGTCTGTTTCTCTTTACTTAATCTATTCACATCAAGGCTGGTCATCAGAGAGATACTCAGAAACAACAGTTGATGGATTCAACAGACTTTAGCAGTTCACAACAATGACACAAATTTTGTAAGATTTTCAGTGAACTAGATAAACAATGATTTTTGTCAGCTTTAACATGAGATGGAAAGTTGTAGCTCAGCTAATGCATTCACATAGTCTTCATTGTTGGGATCCAAAGCAGTGGCTTTCTCGTAGCATTCAATTGCTTCTTGTTTCCTACCATTTAGCTTATGAACGAATCCAAGTCTTCCAAAATCTGTGGCATGTCCTAAACCATGCTCAATTTTCTGTTTCAACAATTTCTCCACCACTTCAATGCACCGTTTTCTTCTATAGGAATCTTTTTCTATTTTCAGACCTTCTATGTAATACTCAATGGCTTTTGAATCTGACTTCATTTGAAAATGCTGGAAATTGCCATAACTGAAGTAGATTTCTTGCTTGTCATCACAGGGTATATCATTTATCTGAAGCACTCTCTGAAATATCTCCTCTGCTTCTTCATACCTCTCACCTAGTGCATATATGTTTCCTAGGTCACAATAAGCAGTAAAATATACTGGCTTTTTGTGTATCACTGTTTTTAAATGAAAAATGGCAAGCTGCATGAGATTGTCCACTTCCTCTTGAGGTGGGTATCTTTCCTTCTTCAGTTGAAGTATCTTGAATTTGTAGCAGAGTCCTAGTTGATGATGCACAACGACAGAATTCGGTGTCAGTGCTAGGGCCCTCTTCAAAATACTCATTGCCTTGCCAATTTCTCCTTTTTTTCTGTAAAAACTGGCAGCATATCGCAGGAAAAGAGGAAAGTCAGGGGTTTTCTGCAGTCCTTCTTCAATGTACCTCTCCCCTTCATTACCTTGTTTTATTTGCTGAAGTTTTAATGCAAGTAATGCCAGAAGGGTCGTGTTATTTGGATTGAGTTCCACTGCCTGCTTCAGGGCCTCAAGGCATGGCCTCATCTCTTCATCGCTCATCTCAGTGAAACTTACCAAACGAAACATTGCAATTGCATAGCCAGCAGTAAAATCTGGGTTATTGGGCTCACTCTTCAGAGCCTTTTCAAAGCAATTCTTTGCGCTCTCAAAATATTTCTTCCCAAAGCGTAATAATGCCCATCCTTTCTCAGCATAGATCTCTGGAAGCTGAATCTTCCCATGAACTGTACTTGAAAGCTTTTTGCAGCTGTTTTCCACTTTGCTTACGTAAGTTTGAGCTTCTTTGTATCTCTGCATGTGGTAATAGATCCAGGCATAGTTGCCCCAGGTAACAAGACTTCTCCTGGCAATTTCACCTGGATGATGTTTCTGAATAGCTTCTTCGGCTTTTTGGAGATTTCTCAGGGCTTCCTCATTTGAATTCTTTAGGTGACATACATAGGAGAGTATATTATAATCTGTAATGTTGCATTCTTCAACAAACTTGATATGATCAAGTATAGTTTCCTCTAGTGTCTCAAGACCTATATCCTCCTTCGTCAAAGTCCACGTAAAATGACATTCTAATTGCAGCAGGGAAGTCTTCAAGGAATCCTTGGAAATGGTGCTAGAAGAAATCAAAGAAAAAGTTGTTCATACCCCATTTGCTTTTTGCTATTCTCGTTTTTTAACCCAGGCATGTACTTATAAGGCAGGCAGTAGCTCACTTGGTGCCCTTAGTCCACAATACGTCAAACAAGCCAAAGCTGTAGGGAGCCCTAGGTCTGAAGTGCTGAACAGGGATTTTAGCAATTCTTGCCAGTGTATGAGGCACCTCCTACATAGGAATAGACGTTGGTGTGGATGTTAAGGTGGAGGGCTGGTCTCTGTAGTAAAGCTGGCAAACCCTTGGGCCTCAGGAACATATTTCTTGTGCTGGGAATAATTGCTGAAGCCTACCCAAAAGATGTCATCACATAAGATTCCCTTAAACTATACAGAATGTGATTTGTTTCCTAAACCTCTGCACATGTTCTGGTTTGTATTATAAACTTAATTTTGAATGTCCTGCAATTTTAAATCCTTGTATGTTAGATCATAGCACCATTCTTCTGTAATGGTTGTACTGATTATATAATTAATGTATCCAGGAACTGGGTCCCAGATCTCACCAGCCTGTCCATTTGCTGGCGCTTGGATGTACAGCCCACGAGCACGCAGCCCCATTCCACTTGCTGGTACAGACCACACACTCACTCACTAACCTTTTGGCTCCTCAGATGCTGGCTCTGGACATCCAGTGGCTGCTTAGGGAGCTTCTCTCTCTCCCCAGCTGCCTCAGCCCTATTCATACACACACACACACACCCTTCTTAACCAGACCCTGGTGACACACACCTTAATGCCCCTAAATACCCCTTTATCCCAGTTGTGGTTTAAGCCCAGCTGGCAGCTAAGCATGATGCTGCTGCTCACTCATCTCCCCCTGTCCCCCACTGGTGGAATGGGGAGGAGACTCACAAGGAAAAATTTTAGGTGAAGATCAGAATTTAGGAATTTTTAATAACTGGAACAAAAAAAAATATAACGATAGTAAACATTAATAATGATGATTAAAGGAAAAACTAAAACTCAAAGGAAAACAAGTGGTGCACAGTACAGTTGCTCACTACCTGCTGCCTGATGCCTGACTCCATCCCTGCACCCCAATCAGCCCCGTTCCAGGTAACTCCCCCTGCTTATATACTGGGCATGATGTTCCCTGGTGTGGTATATGCATGCCTTTGCCCAGCTCAGATCACCTGTCCCAGCTGTGCTCTCTACAGCTCTTCTGTGCATCTCCTCACTGGCAGAGCATGAGACATAAAAAAGTCCTTGACTAGCATAAACATGACTACAAACAAAATGTGAGTGTGTTATCCACAAACTTGGCATAATGAACCCAAAACATTGTATCAGCTAATGAGAAGAAATTAAGTCTATAGCAGATGAAACCAGGACAATCCCTCTCCACCTTTCAACAGCTTTTTCTTCCCAAATGGGGACCAGATGCCACCAGGGCAGGGTGTTATATGGATTTCCCCTGCTACCATTGCCTACCTGTGTCCCTGTGTGGGTGCACAGACTTGCCTTTGTCACACAATCAAGGGGACACTTTTATCACACAGTGATGACATTTTAGTCCACACTGTGCTCTTCCTTAATGAAAGGAGCAATGGCACAAAATTCTGTTACTGAGGCTTCTCAGCTAAATCCTTCTTTCTAAGAAATATTTCCTTGCTGTCCCTCCTGTAACGCCTGTGGGACACAGCATGTGCTGCTGCTCAACTGCACAATCGAGCCTTTTGGGTAAAAAAAGGACTGAGTGGAAAATCTGCAGACTTAGGAGGAGACAAATCAAGGGGGAATGTGACAAACACAGGTTTGAGAGACAGATTACACCTCTTTGGCTGAGCACCAGCTGTACCTGATGCAGCCTGGATTTCATCCTCACACTCCATGCACAAAATTTTTCTTACTTTCTGTTCTACTCACAGAGGCTGAGCCTCACTGGAGAAGCAATAGCATGACAACATTCAAGAGCATCCTTATTTTATTCTGATTCTTCTCTAAATATTCTCTAAAATATTTTTTGTTGTTTGGAAGCAAGTTCCTCGGTGCTTGCATTAATGTAGATAATAGTATTATTTTACCCATGGCATAGAGAAAAAATCATCTTTCAGAGACTGGATTGCTTTCTTACCTCATGGCTTTTCTTTGCTCGCTTGTCTTCAGGAAGCCTCAAAGCCAAAGGAGTGCTGCCCACTGTTGTTATGCTTCCCATTTTATTTTGTTCAGCCCTCATGTGATCTCTGAGGAAATTGCTGGGAAACAGGTACTTACTTTTTGCTGAGTTTGCTGAAGCAGAATAGTCAGTCTGCCGCTGAAGAATCGAAACTGATAAGACACTAAGCTGCTCTTTTTCAGTCTGGCTCTGTGCCATGAATTACTTTGTGTTGTGGCGAATGTGGAAAAAGGTCTTAACGCTCCCAGCTCTTACTGTGTTGAAAGGCAGAGACATCGATTGTAAGGAGAATATTTCAGGCTCATATGGGCTGACCAGGTTATCATGCATAGGCTAGGGAAGGGTCATTTGTACTTTGTGCCTCTACTGATGCATCTTTGCACAATTCTGGGCCAGGCTGTAGGCTCCTGTTTTATTGGGGCTATGTCACTCACATAACACACACACACAAACCAACCCTTATCTCCCCTCCCTGCACTCCTTCATCCTGTACCCCCACACCACAAGGCCTCTGCTGCTCTCCCAGGCCTGTGTTATTCTGCACTATGCCATTGTCTAAGAGTACAGAATATCCCATCTACAGGGGATGTTTGTTGCTGCTCTCTACGTAAACAAACCCAGGATTATCCTGTCACAAATCAAATTAGATAGAGGCAGTCAGTTTAAGAAACTGCTGTCACAGTTGTGGCATGTAAAACAAAGCTGCAGGCAGGTAAGGACAAGGTCAAACTGAGCAAACCTGGAAGCCTTGGTGCCGAGGCCATGCAAAGGCAGTGCATGGCAAGGGCAACGCCTGCTACAGGCTACGCACATGGCAACAGAGATGGGCGTGCTCTGGGGACTGGAGCATCTATGAGCAACTAACTCATTGATGCTTAGTTTAAAAAAAGAAAAAAAATGACCTGGCTCTGTAGAATTGACTTTGGCGGTAACAAAGAGAACTGGACACAGATTGTAACATACATAAATGGCACTCCATATAATAAATTCAGATGTAACCTGAGGCTGCACATCAAGGAAGAAGAAGAAAGGTCTTAAAGGGTTTTAACATACTAATAGAAATGACTCCAACTGGATCTGGTGAGGGGAAGAAGAAACCATAACCATCAGCATGACAGCAAAGATGTTAGCAACTGGTCACTGTTCTTTCCCTTTCTTTTCTTCTTCCCTTCTTTTCCCTTCTTTCCCTCTTCCACCCTTTCCCTCCATTCAAGAAACCCAGCAAAGCAGTCTTACATATTAGAACTTCTGGTTTCTACAAGAATTTGGAGAGCCTTAGTAACACACACACACACACACACACA